AAAAAAAGGGAGGGCCCAAGGCCCAACTTTCTTCTCGGAATGACCATCAACTTCAAAGATTACTTTCAAAATTGATGACAGTGATTGTATATTAAAAAAAAAAAAGATGATAGTGAGACATTTTGATCTTCTAAGTTTCAAACCTATCTTTTAAAATTTAATATAATAAAATTTAATCATTCTAATTATTTTGGAATTTTCAAGAGTATTTTTTTTCCAGTGCGATTTTACACTATGGTCATTAATAATTAATAATTTCATTAATTAATATAAATGGATGACTCAACGTAACGTTAACATGTACATATAATGCTCCAAAATTATAAACATCATATCATATATCATATCAGTGCTAGGAGCCAAAACATCACACCGACGTGGTCATCTTTTAATGGCGATTGATTTAGGATCAAATTAAATTTGATATTTGGCCACACTAATTATTCCTGTCAACTTGATGTCATGATGTGTTCGAGGGCTTATCGTAAAGGTGACTTTGATGACGAAATACCTTTTCAAACCACAGAAATTAAATTAAATTTTAGAAATATTAATCATTTAATTTTGTAATTTTAACTCAATCTGTAATTTAATTCTTAAATTTTAACTTAATTATTATAATTATATCAAGTCAAATTTAAAATTTGAAGAATTAAGTTATAATTGAATTAAGAGTATAATAATTAAATAATTAATTTTTGCTTAAATCCTTAATAGTTGAAAGGCCAAATGAATAAAAACATCCTGACTTATGGCTAAAAATCAAAGCAAAAAATAAAACAAAAGAAATAAAGGGCTTGTTTAATTTTTTTTCCTTGTTATTTTAAAAATTATTTTGTACATCAATTTTTAAAATTGATTTTTTAAAAAAATAAAAATAAAATTTATTTAATAATGTCAATTTAAAAATAATTTAAAAGTTAAGAAATTGGTCAACAATGATGGACGCCAATTGTTAATAACAGGAACTTATGATAACATTTGATATAGTTAAAAATAATTTATAATAATTGTGCTCTAAAAACTTAAAAAATGAAAATGAAAACAGTTCTAAAGCATTTTATTTATTTTTTTTTAAAACAAAACGTTAAAATAGTGTTGAAAACACTTATCTTAAAATGTGTTTTTCATTTTTTATTTTTAAAAACAGAAATAACAGGCCCAAAAAGTTCTTTTTGAGAAAATAACATGGACGGGAAATACAACTTTTGTCCTACGTTTAAAAGGGTTGGGTTTTGAGCCCGAAGTGTTTAATGCCCAAGCATTAGTTTGTTTCCTTAGACTACCCTTTGATCCTAATATTGTTGAATCCAGTCCCCCAGTTTTATATTATATGTCATTTAAGAAGAAAAAAAAAATTATTTCAATTAACATGTCTTTTAAGAAGTTCAAAGAAGTATTTGTTAGCATTTTTTATTACATCCTTTTTTATGACTAATGGGAAATATTTTTAAAGCAGTAAATTAAAGAAAAACTTGATAATGTAATCAATATTTTAATGTATTAATTGTATTTCTTAATGTATGCTAAAATATTAAAAGACCCAAATTAGTAAATTTTGAAGCAGAAGGAGTATATATCAAAATGGAATAGCTAAATTCTATTAAAAAATATATTAACTCAATTACAAAGCTTTTTGAAAAGGTAAAAAAAACTAAACATCTTTTTGAGCCTTTTGTAATAACTTTTTGCTTTGCAAAATTAGAGAAAAAGCAAAAAAAAATCATATTTTCATTAGTGAAAATTATTTTATAAAATAAATAATTATTTTATTCTTTATTTCACAACTTTAGATATGTTTTTCCATAATATGATTCACATAGATCTTTTTTTTTTTCAATTTTGTTCTTAAAACTTGTTTTAAAAATTTCTCTACATTATTATTTTAAGTATATAAAAATAGAAAATAGCATCAAACAAACCCTATGTCTACTTAAACGAGATCAAATGTTCCAATTTAATGAATTTTTTTTTAAAAAAAAACTAGGTAGATAGAGCTACTTATGTTTAAGCTTAATAGTACTTGAACCTGAATTAGTTGCTAGTAGTTGTTGCCTAAAATAATAGTGAAGCATGACTTGGAAGAATTAAGGCCATGTTTGCTAAAATGAAAAGGTTTTTTTTTTGGCCAAAAAATAGAGTCAATTTTATTAATCACTAAAAAAAAGTATACAAACACCAATAGCCAAAACCAACAAACACTCGAAAAAATCTAAGGTTACAACTTAACACATAGCTTAACCAAAAAAAGAAAGAAAGGAAAACAAAAATAACAATCAACAAATAACCATCAGAGTCTACAAGTTAACTAATGCTAGATTAAACTCAACAGAGAAGAATTAGAATTGCAAGCTCTAACCAATCAGCATGAAAAAAACTTTAAGAAAAGTTGGTGCCACCGAAAGCCACTCAAATGAGTCCATCTTCTCAATACACAAAATGAGAAGGTTTTTAAGAGAATAAGAATTGGAATAAAAAACTGGAAAATGGGTTTTTGAAGGAACCAGTTTGCATGATTGGCTTGGATAACAAAAGAAATTGAACATGAAAATTGAAAAAATGTATATGACAAAAAAATCCTATATAAATAAAGAGATCATTGGCCTAATCTATAAATAATATGCTTATTTTTCGTTTTTGACATCATGATTTTTAATGGAAGTGACATTTTCTTAGTTATCTTGATGTATGGATCCTTCCCTTCCAAGTTTGATAAAAGTGAGATAAGATGTATATTTTTTTTTCTTCTTCTCCTCCATTGACTTCTTTCCGGTACCAATCAAACATCATCTAAAAGTCTCGAGTTTGATTTCGATGCTCATTGCTGATATTTGTACCATTCAAAATTGATTTAAATTGTTTAAATTTAAAATTTTTAACTAAAATTTTTTTATATAAAAAATAATTTTTTGTCAGAGTTAACAGTTATTAGATAATTTATTTTAAATTATGTACCTATTAAAACAATAATTTATTAAAAATAAAAAATAAAATTTTATCAATTCTAATGGTCTTGATTGAACTGATCCAAAAGTCCTGGCCAGAGGGTTTCTTTTTTTTTCACTTGGAGGCTGGTTATCTTATCTCATGAGAGAGCACATTTATTTATATCATATGATTTTTTTTTTATACTAAACTGCCTGGTATCTCAAGGTATATTAAATTTATATCCGTTCCAGACTAATCCAAATCTCTCGAGATGAACCTTACAGTATAGTGAGTTACTAATAAAATAATTCTTTAAAATTACATTAATTATTATAGTAAAAGAGCACATTTATGTATATCTTATGATTTATGAATTATGATGCTGACATCTTCCCAAGAAGGGCAGTGTTGAAAAGTGACATCCAACAGCACACTTTACAGCTGGCCCAATAAGAAAAACCTCATCGTGAATGGAAGCCCAATAGCCACATTGAAGGCCCAACAATGCCCAAGTGCCGGAGGTGAAACTAAAGTTGAAAGAGGATCTTCCCTTTTCAACACTGGATGGCAACATTTCATTGAATTAGAAACTGACAAGTTTTTGTTTTATTGAAAAAGGTATGTTAAGTACATTTGTATGCTTTCTTATCCTTTCGATACCCTCATGGAAGCTGACGGAGCAATAAAATACTCTTTGCTTTGTGTGGATTATTGAGTAAACATTTGATAATTTCTATGCTTTTTATTATATTTATCTGGTTTACGAGATAGCAGATATTCATCCTTTTCAGAACCTGCTCTTTAATATTCAAATTGGAGGTGTTCATGAAACAGCCTTTTAGCAAGGTACAGAAGTTAATGCATGGAGAACGATAAGAAATTATAGCTCGGGTCAAATAAAAATAAATAAACAACCAAATTGACTTCAAAACTATAATCTTGTTGTGTAATATTTTTTTTTAACTTTTCAAAAACAATAGGTTTGACTTTTATCGTTAATAAAATTAATTTTAATTGTTGGTTGATTAAAAAATAATTTCAAACTGTAATTTTGAAGTTTTTTTAATTAATAATTTTTGAAATCATTTTTTCTCATTTTTTGTCAGCTAACAATAAAAGTTAATTTTCATTAACATAGAAGATAAAATATGCATCATTCAAAGCTAAAGAAAAATATTACATAAAAGATAAATTTAAAAACCTCACATGCTTTTAGATCTATAATTTAATAGCTAATTTACTCATTTACTTGTGAAAAAAAATGTTCCCAAAGCTTTCACATAAGCACAATTAGCATTCTAAATTCCAACATTTTTCAAACAATATAATTAATATAAAGTTGCTCTTCGTTAACAGATCCAAATGTGACCATTAGCTTGACAGTGAAGTGCTTAGATGGCATGTCCCATGTTAGATAGACCCACATATTAATGCTCCCCCTAGTCCAAACCCACCATTCCCATCTCCAGCTAGCTTCCTCATGTTTACACAAAATTAGAGGAATACTTAATACTTAATTGCATAGTTCATAGTTGACAAACTATACAAAATTAACTAGAGATGGCAAAGCCTTTATTGCTTTGGGATTTGTTTTACTTGAGGATAAAAATAATTTATTCTAAATATTTATAGTTCAATCCATTTAATTAAATAAACAACTAAAGTCTAATTTTTCCCAATAAAACGATCACATCTTGCAATGCAATCAATCACTAATTCCCAAGAATTGAGCTTTGATCAACCACAACAATGGCACACTAAATTGCTATGTTTTTTTTTTTGAAGGAAAAAAAAAACTACGATCACATCATATTAGGTCGAATGTTCATGAGCACGTACGATGCTTGACATGTTTGTTAGTAGACATAAATTCTTTACATTGTAGAGGAGGTTCATTATAAAGACAACAAAATCACTAGAAATATATAGCAAGAGTACAGTATTAGCCAATTCAAATAAAAAAGGCATAATAATTTCCATGACACATGATAGCCAAAAACAAGAAGCAAAGAAAAGAAGTGATAAGGTGAGTGAAATGCATTGTTAATTAAGATTTAATTTGCTTGTCTCACCTTCTTTCTCTTTCTCTTGCTAAGAAAAGTCCCATTTAGATTTTCTTCTCTTTTCATTCTGCATTTCAATTTCAATCAAAATAAATGTTGGAAGATCTAAAATATGTTAGTTATAAATTATAATCAATGAGAATGAGAGCGAGTGAATATGAGTAGCTACAAAACCTTGATACAAAATCTCTTGCCAAAGCTTGAAGATCAGCATCATGATGAAGATCACAAGGGTTGAAAAAAGTTGAGTACTGAAGTGAATTAGTTGGATCAAAGGGAAAGTCATTGTTAGAAGATGAAGAGGTTTGGTGTTGAGGAAGAGTCGCAACCATTGGGAGACGTTGCAACGTTGAGAGACGAGCTTGCACGTAAGCTAACTCTGCCTGTAAGTTTATTACCTGCAAATGCTCAAATTTAGATAATTCACTTACTAAAAAAGAAAAAATTATTCTAAAATTACTTCATGCATCAAATGCGTAATGTACATATTTTTTAACAAGATTTCGATGAAAATTAAACACATATCACTATTTGATATAATATTATTTAAAATGGGTTAAAATACACTTTTAATCTTTTAATTTTATATAAAGTTTCATTTTGATATCTTAATTTTATATATCTTTTAAATTTTTTAACTTTAACGTTATTAATCTTGCTAATCGGATTAGCCTTCTTGTTAATTATGAATATCTATCTATTGGACTTGAGAGCCCATCAAAAGATAAAAGAGATTCACTTGTCTTGCATTATGGTTCAAATATTGTTTTACTTTATTGAACTTTTTTGGTTCTCACTTTTACTTATATACTTTTTCTTAGGAATCTAATAATTGGTTTTGGGAAGTGGGAACTATACAATTAAAATGCATGCTAAGGTATATAAAACTGTGCGAACTCACAAAATCACAATCAACCCTAGCAATACTCAACTTTAATTTGATAGCATTACTAGATACAATGTATGAGAGGACACAATCAGTCACCTGATATTTAATTATTAATTTTCTGCGAAGTTCAAGTTATAAGAAGCTGTGACTCACCCGATCTTCATGAACTTGGTTTTTTTTAATCAGAGAGATTGCGGATTTACACCTAATTAAAGCTAAGGAATGGATTGGTGCAAATCTGCCCAATTACATGGTCCCATAATTGAAGATAATACTGTCATAGTGCTGCGTGCAGCTTTTAAATTACTGTATAATCTTCTCTCCATACATACATATATACATATATATAAATGAGAAAATTAATTATTCAGTTCTTATAATCTAATTCGATTAAAATTCTGTTTCAAAATTGAATTTTGGTTAAGTTGTAAATTTTGACTCTTATAACTCCATCCATATAGTTCTGTCTATTTAAAATATTGGTCCATACTTAAAAAAAATATGAAGAATAAAATTATTATTATTATTATTATCATTAGAGCTTAAGGACTAATATTTTAAATGACTAAAGCTATAGAAATTGAGTTACAAACTCATAATGAGTTAAAATTTAAGATTGAAATTGCAATTAAATCGAACTATAAAGATTGAAGTGTGCTAAGTTAAAATTTAAGAAATAAATTATAATTAAGTCAAAAGTATAGGAATTAAATAATTATTTTTTTATTTACACTTTTGTTCTCCATGGATAAGCTTGCCGAAGCTCTAGATTTAATCATTGTACTTTAGAATGTAAAGATTATGCTTTAATCCACGTTTAAAGATAAGCTCAAAGCTTGTCATAGAATAAAGCATAAGATTATATTTACTATATATGTAAATCCACCAATAATGTTCATCTTGGGCAAGATGATTCATATACCTTACGAATTTCTTTATTCACTACTCCGGAGAAAGAAATTAAAGCATAAGGAAAAAACAGGTTGTTTTTAAGTTATATAACATTATATAGCAGCCAAAGATTTATTCCCCATCAAATTAAAATATCATTTAAAAATTTTCAGTCATACCTTTTTACTATTAAATTATTCATAAAATCGTAATAAGTATTTTTTAAATTTCATATTATGTAATTTTTATTAAAATTTAAACAAAAGGTGGGGTCTTGTACATTTTAGAATATGTAAATTACTAAAGTAGCCTCATACACTTAAGAGCTTATTTCCCTTTAAACATAAAAAAGGGGCTCTTTATAAAGTTGACTATATTCTATATATATATATATATATATAGATAAGTTTTGATTTCTTACTATTTTTCGAAAGAATTTAAAACTGGATATATAAATTATAGATTTATTTATAATGGGGTAGGTATGGCATTGCGTATCACAAGATCTCTGGCTAAATTGTCAAATGTAAATAAAGAAATATTAAAATGTTCATTGGAAGAAGCACAAACAGTACTTAGCTGCCTAATATTTTAGGTGGTTAATTAATTAATTAACTAATTAATAAGTCTATATATTTGTGCAAGCATACATATATGGTGTTGAAAGTCAAAATTACAAATTACAATTACAAATATTTAATATTTCTCGAGCAACTAATTAAGTTGCTTGGTAGCACAGGCAAGCAAACCTCTATAGTCAGACAACCATTTAGCTTATGCCACTCCTCTCTCACAAAAAAGCCAATTACATAATTAAATAATAGAAAAACATTACTTTAAATTTTTATACTTTGTTCACATTTTACAATTGATTAGTACATTTTTTAACATTTTAGATTCTTACACTTTTATTTTTTAATATTTTAAATCTCTTTAAAATTCTTACACTAAAAGACCTAAGACACACAAAAAAAAATGTAAGACCTAGAATATAAAAAAAAAAGTACAAGAATTTAAAATTATATTTTTATTTAATAATTGTAGATTTTTTGCCAAAATTAAATAATAGTTGCTAGATAACTAATATGAATTTTGCAAATATTTATTTGTCGAAACCCTAACCTTTCATGACACATGGCTTTCAGCCACCCAAGGTATAGAGCCAATCTAGTTTTAAATTCCTAATAAAATAACAAGCTTAATGTGGACATCAATTACATTACGTGATAAATTAACATCATACGAAAAAGTTTTAAATTTGCAAATACTCCACGTGGACCTAAGGACGTAAAAATAGACCATTATTTTAGTTAATTAATTTTGCCGATTATGAGCAAACAAACTAATAATAACAACTAACGAAAAGGACAAATTATAAATTAAAAATAATTTCTATGAAAATCATATAATACATGGGTGAAAATATTTTTATTTAAAAAAATAAAAAACATTAATCTTCAAGTTTTTGAATTCTTGTTCTGTCCCAAAAAAAAAAAGAACATTGAAGGTTTTTTTTTTTAAAAAAATCATTTTACTTTTTAGTAGTTCTTTAAATGGTACTCCTTTCTGTCGTAATTGTTGAAAACTTTTAACCATTTTACACATTTAAAAAAAAATTAATTTTTTTCTTAATATTATAAAAAATTATATATACTTTCATTTTACCCTTAATTTTAAATAATAATATAACTATATTAAACACTTTCATATTAATCAATAAAAGATAAAATTAAAAAAATACTTTAATTATTATAAAATACCAAAAATTAATTTTAAAATGGACAGATGGAGTATGTTTCTTACAATACAAATATTACATAAATAGGTAATAATTAGGTATTAAATAATTGCATAAAAGGGAGATTTCGAGGCCTAGAAATTACAAAACCTACGTATAGATAGAGGCCACGTTAACGTTATTAGAGTAAGTGGCTGCTTTCTTAGAGAAGGGTGACAAAAATTGTCAAACCAAACAGTAAATAAATAAATGTCGCGCCCCATGTGAAAACCTTGACCAACCTACAGGATTTTACTATAGTTTCTCTACTTGACTCAAAACATGAGCTCAATTTTGATTCATGATTCATTATTCTTGCCTAATATGCATCCATTGATTAATCATAATATTTACCCACATGTACTTTCTTCCAGGTTTTGATCATATTTCTATTTCTTCATTCACTTTTCTCATTTTTTATACACACACACACGAGTGTGTTATCTCAACCCCTTATGAATTAATTAGACTCAAATTCTGATATAAGCAAAGGTTTTATGGAGCCATCAATAAGAAGTCGAGTTCTTTGTATTACCCGTTTAGTTGTTGAAATTTATTCCGTTAAAATTATTAATATTATAAAATAATATGATTGAAATTGCTTAGTTTAATTAAAAAATTGAATAAAAAAATAAAAAATTATACGGGATTTCAAGTATGATTTAGCATTGTCAATGAAAGCTGGGTTTGAAAAACATTAGCACTTTAAAATATACAAGCTTATAGGTTTAAATCCTCAAGGCCAGGCTCACAAAAACTAGGACAGTTTTTATTAACAATTCTTGCTAATTAGAAGCTAATGAACGATGAAGATGAGAAGCTACTTGCTTGCTCAGGAACGTAATTTCTGCAAGTTCAACCTTTCTTAGTTATATGCTAGAAAAAGCCATGAACAGAGAGAGAGAGAGAGAGAGAGAGAGAGTCCAGGTCATCTGTGAGAGGTTGTGGTGGATGCAGCAAAACCCAGCAAAGCAAGAGAAATAAAACTTTTTTACTCTGTGCCCTTAATGACCAATTTATGATCAAAGATTCAAAGCCAAACAAGAACGAGACAGAGAGATTTGATGATATGATGAAAGAATGTAAGTAGGTACCTGTTGCTGAAGGGCGAAGATGTGGGCGACGCAGCCATAGACGGGATCTCGAGCCCTAGAGAGAGCCTCGTAGGAGAGAGTGAGGACGGCATCGAGGCGGTGGTGAGGAGGGATTCGTAGGAGCAGCTTGGCGGCGTTGCTGGCTCCGAACACCCTGTGAACCGCCGCGAAGTGAGCCGTGCCTTGATCGGAGTCGAAGAACGGTGCAAATACGCAGCCCTTGACGCACTTTCGCCGGAGGAATTTGCACGCCCCACAAGGTCCTCTCTGACCATTCATGTTATTATTCTTGCTGCTAGAAGACGACCCACAATCCATCTCTCTCTCTCTCTCTCTCTCTCTGTGTCCTCTGCAAGCTAGAGATCAAGAAGAGGTTGGTGATTGGCCTTTTTGATCTTTTCCTTGCACTGTGGATCAAGCAAGCTTTTCTTTTGTATGATGATTCAGAGAATTGCGACGTAGTGTGTGCATAATGTGTGTGTATATATATAGCTGGGTTTTGTTCGGACTTAGGATTAACAAAATTGCTATAGGCAAATTTCTTTTCCGATGTAATGTCTATATTTTTTATGCTGTGACGTATTATTTGATGGTCAATGATGTCTTAAATCAAGGTTATATTTAAATATATTTAATTTATTTAGAAATTATAACTAGGTCTAATATAAACTAGGGCAAATAATAGTTAGATCCTAAAAATAAAAGTTAGGTTCTCCAAGTTTTTATATGTATTTCTTCCATTTAAAAATATAAAATATTTTTTAAAAAAATTAAATGTTAAAATATATAAGGTATTTTTAATTTTTTGAAGTGTAATCATTGTCTTTTTTTTAAAAGTATCATACTGATGATGACTTTATATTTATTGTAGGGTGTTTAATAGGGGTAAATATAAAAAAATAAAGTTAGTTGAAAAATAAGTAACTATTTTATTGTGAGGTGAGATTTAATTAAAAATATTTTACATTTTTGAGCGAAGCGAGTAAGTTGTAAATATTCTCTCTGTTAAAAAATATAAGGCATTTTTAATCGAATCTGATCCCTCAATAAAGTAGTTACTTATTTTTAAACTAATCCTATCATTTTATATTTACCCCTATTAAATATCTTATAATAAATATAAAGTCATTATCAATAGGGACGGTTTTAAAAAAAAAGCAATGATTACACCTTGAAAGACTAAAAATGTCTTACATTTTTTAACATCCAATACCTCAGAAAATGTTTCATATTTTTGAACGAATGAAGTATGAATTTAAATAATTAAAAGAGGCATCTACCTATATATGTATTTTATCTGATTTCATTTATAAGGCAGAGAGAGAAATTTTCTTTAATCCTATTTATAAATCATATTATTAAATTTTTATTACAAATTATTTATTTCCTCCTCTATTAAATGTTGGAAAGAGAAAAATTAAAATATATATATTTGATGGGAGTGAAATTGAGAATTTATTAAAATTTTAGATAAAATTAATAAATTTTAAAGTTTTTTATGATTCCAATAAAATATATTAAAAAAATATAAATATAAAACGAGAAGTACAATTAAAAAATTACATTTAAAATTTAAATATTTTATTTGTAATTAAAATTTTTAATTAAAATGTGTAATTAATAAGGTGATCTAATTGATCAGACAATATTAAATAAGAGTAGATGCATAAAAAATGCATAATTTTAAAAATAATTAACTAATTTACTTAAAATATTATTCAATTAAAAATTTATTATAATGTATAGAACAATAAGAGTATATATAATGATTATACGTTTTAAATATTTTTATGATGGGAATATATATGCTAATAAAATACTTTTCTACTCTTCTTTATAAGTTATTTTTATCAATTTTATTAATATCAATGTAAAAAAGTACAAAAAATAAAAGTATATAAAATTTTAAATCTGTTTTTATATAAAAATTTTAAAAATAATATCATATTTTTTTCTCATAAAAAATAATTTTAAAAATATATCTTAAATATTATTTAAATAGTCACATTATAATTTATAAACAAAATTAAATAAATTTTTTAAAATGTGATTTATAAATGATATACGAAGAAGTAATACATATTTGTTTCAATCAATTATCACGTGAGCTTGTCTTTTCATCTATACTTGATAATGGGTATGTACTTTTGTCTTTCTTTATAGCTTCTAAAAAAGAGCGATGAGGAGAGGCTTTTGTTGGTGGGTCATGAGGTGGGATGGACAGGCAAGTTAAGTCATCATAGGTCCAAATTTTGAATTCACCAATCCAGATTCACCAATATGATCTATCAGTACACAGAAACAGAAACAGAAATTCATTAGAAAATTGTGTGTTGGTGAGGGCGTGAAAAATTATAACTCAAATTTGGTTCAAAGTTTCAGACTTTAAAGCCACGCAAGCCGAACAACCAAGAGATCTAGTAGCGAGGTGAACTGAAGAAGAAGAATAGTAAACCCAGAAGGCAAAGAAAGAGAGAGAGAAAGATGGTTGCGTGAAGCAAACACAGAGACGCACAGACACACACATATGACAGAAGAGAGGCAAAGAGATATAGGTATAGCAACTGCCGAGGAGAGAGGAGATCATGGCCACGTGCCAGACCACATCCCTATACTCCACGTGGGACAGACATGGAATGGGGATACATCCAAACAAACATCCTAGTTCTCTCCTATTCTGATTCTGATTCACTTGTCACTTCCTTCACTTTATTTGGTTCTTGGATCACTATTTATCTTCTTTTTCTTTTCTGTTTCTGAGATGATGGTAAGATCGCAGTGAGAAGACACTCAGCCACTCTACAATTCTACTATCCTATTCACTCCGACAGTACAATTATATACTGTTCATCCAAATCTCTGCTGCTTCCTTTAAGGTACTTTGCCTTGCTTGCAGGTTTTTTACGACACAAGTTGTTTTGTAGTAGTACTGTGGTTGTTACTAGTGAAGTGAATTGAAGCTGATTGATGATGATGATGGGTTTTAAATTAAACTTGTTGGATAAAGTATATTTTTGTCTTTGTATTTAATTCTGTTAATAGATAACGAATGGAGAAGAATTTTTTCTTCTCTAAAAAAATAATTTTAAAAAAATAATAATTTATTTATTGATACAGGCTGTTCAATTCTTCTTGAAAGGAGTATATGGATAAAAGTACACTTTGACCTATAAATAAATATTAATGAATATTTTAATTTAAGTAATAATTATTTTTTTAACAATAATTAAAATGAAATAAATAATTATAACTTTTCCTCTGCAGAGCAAGTAACTGAAGAGAGAAAGTTGTAATTACTTATTTTAATTTGGTTATTATTAAAAAAAAAGTAATCACTGTTTAAATTAAAATAATTATAAATATTCACAACATTTGGACTTTAATGAATCAAATTTGCATAAAAAAAGTTATAATTAATTGTTCTATTATAATCATTGTAAGAAGAAAAATAGTCATTAATATTTTTTTTATTTTAACTAGGGATATTTTAGCTATTTCACAAAAAAAATTGATGTCTAAAAGATATCTAGAGACTTAAAAAGAATCATGACATTTTATAAGATTTTATTGTCATTTGCATATTTTAGAGGATTAAAGTGTATTTTTTTCTTGTAGTTTTTTTCGAAGAGTGCTAAGCACCTTATACTTATAAGTAGAGCATTTTTCATCTAAAACATTTTACTCCAATTAAATCTACATATTTTAAGACTTAATGGGACTAGACTAATTAGGATAGAGCACGTGTCGGATCATTTTTAGTGGCAACCTCTCTCACTGATTATTTAACAAGGCTACATTCTCAAGACTTAAAGTCGATAACTCTAATTAAATTGGTATAACTTTCCTATCAATTGAATCAAGTAATGGCGTTGAGAACACACTTTCATGGCATTTACAAAGATGCTTCTTTTTATTACTTACCAACTCTTAATTTGTCTGTTTAATTGTAAAAGTTTATAAAAAAAATAAATAATTTCAAGAATGCATTAATTATTTTACCCTTTAATTAATAATGAAAATAATAATTATTTAAAAATATTTATATAAATAAGAAATAAAAATATTTTAGAAAAATATCATTAGATCTTATTATAATTTAAAATACTTATTAGTTTTTCTAATATACATGCATAACTCCAAAGCAATATTTTAAAAATAGGATCAGACAATCCGACTAGCTATACCATCAGCCGAATGGGATAATTGATTTTTTTAAAAAGACTGTTTAGAGCAATGATTAAAAAATCAGATTGAATCGGATGGTCGGATGTCGACTGATCAAGCTAACGGCTCAATCAAACTGAAAAAACTATTTGGAGAGTTAAACTGGATTGGATGGCTTTGGAGCCGTGGTCAGACCGAGAATCAGAATCAAGCCAGGAATCAAATTTGATTTTCAAAAATCAAATTGTTAAAAAAATACCCATTTTCTTTTCTTTTTTAATTTCTTTGTCAATTTTTTAAGAAAATGACTATTTTTTTAATTATTTGATGTTATGTTGTATCACATGACTTGTTAAATTATGATAAACTTAAAATATTTAGTCACATTTTTAAGTTAAGTAGCAATTTTATATTTATTTTTTATATTTAGATTTTTATATACATATATAATTTTTTTAATTTAATTATTATGTTACTGGTTTAATCATTAGTTCAACTCAGTTGGACCATGTGAATCATAAACCCTAATCTTTTTAATTTAATATCTAATTCGGTTTTAAAAATATTTTTTAGAGAGTTGAACTAGGCTAAGTTGGGTAAAGAATCAAGAATCAGACCAAGTCAAACTGGTTTGATTTTTTTTTTTTAAAAAAATTAATCCACATTCCAAAACTACATGACAACATTGAGCAGACTGAACCTAAAGCAAAAATTGTAAATCCTCAATTAGCATATGATTTTTTAATAATTCACAAGGCAGATGCTAATTCTTTTTTGCAATTTTTTTTAAAAAATTTCATATCTTTTTCATATTTATAATGTTATATATGTGTATATAATATTTTTAATTTAATTACTACATCATCTATTTAATTTTTTATTTAAGTAGTTAGATCATAAGAATCATGAACAGTTGGCCTTTTTAATTCACGATCTGGTCTGGCTCTCAAGACAAAGGTCCATAGTAACCCTTATTTTAAAGGAAGAGTACAATTTTTGTCAAGCTTTGAGCCGAGCCTCAACCTTGCATATGGCGTGGGTTATAAGGCATTGAGCATATAAATTTAAAAATTGAAGGGGCTCAAGTTTTGGGTTGGGCTCTAAATTTTTGTTTCCTTTTTCTTAATATAAAATTTAAGTCCAACCCAAATACATATAGTTCACACCAGCACCTAATCAAGTCTATTAGTCTATAATGATTAGTTAGGGTAGCTAATTAAGTTAGTTTATCAAAATGGTTTCCAATTAGTAAAGGAAAAGTTAA